ATTTTACTGAGATAATTTCTGGAATCTCCAGAACACTTAGGTGGCCACAGGGAACATGCGTGGAGTGTCTTGTTTTTCTTCTCACTGTCTGGGTCTCTTTTGTCCTGACACCCAGCTCTCTTCGAACTCTTCAACTGTGGAAGATCTAAGCAAAGCTAATCTATAAAACCTCTTCCTTTTGTAAAAAGCTACCTCTTAGAAACCAATCCTTCAAACTGCAGCTTTTCACTGTGTTTGATCTAATGATGAGTTCTTTGGTAGTAGCCAATTGGGATGGCCTAGATTGTGTGTGTGTTTTATGCTTCAGGTAGATATCTAACAAGGACTTAGGATGAAAAGAAGGTTTACATTGAGAAATATGAGTTGTCTGTGCCCTGTCCTAGGATGCATTCTAAGATGTTGTGAGATCACAGTTTGTTCACTTAAAAGTAAGTACAACTTAGTTCTCAGGATGGATATTGCATTCAAAGTGATTATGTCACAGAAAGACAAAAGTCCAAGAATATTAATGTCCAGTGTGTGAAATGCTTCATGACGTAACAGTGCTCTACACATTTGTGCTGTTGTTAACATTACATCCACTTTAGACAATTTTACATATTTTCCCCAGTAAATAATACTCTTCAGAAGGAAATATAACTTTCAAAAACTCCTGGGCATTTCAGGAAACTTCAACAGAAGTCCTCTTAATTTTTATTCTATTGTCAGAAAGCCATAGTAACCAGAAAGTCTTATGGGAGTCACTGGAGAAAAAAAGTATTTATGAAGGAAGAAGTCAATAAGACATTGAAGGTCAAATGTATTTCCTGATCAACTTTCATCTTTGCTCTGTATTCATGTACTTAATTAGTATCTTGACAACAAAATTGAAAAAAAAATAAGACTAAGAGAGCTGTAGGAATTGGAAATTTAGAAAACCGTTAGGTAATCTTGATCAATCATTTACCGCAAACATCTGTCTATGACACTCCTGAAGCTAAGCCACAGTGGCCAATACCTGCTGCTAGGTATTTTCCTTTTGAATACTTTTTTCCTTTTGTTCTCCCATTTTTAATAAAGGGATTTACCTGACAAATCCAGTTTTAATCTACATGGATTATGTGTATGCTAAAAAGCTTTCCAGAGCAGAAAGAAAGAGAAAAATTCCAGAAGAATGATTTGTTTTGAGGGGAATAAAAGGATTAAAATAAAATTTTAAATCTAATCATTGCCTCTTTAATACTAAAATATTCAAGAAATATTGAAAGCACAGATTCATCCATGAGAAAAAATGTCTAAAGAGCTGAGTTCACTTATGCATGCACATTACCCAAGAGGGAGGCTAGTGAACAAAAAGCATGGATGTATAGATGAAATAACTTTTTGTGACATAATTATACTTTTGCAGAGTATCACTGAAAATTTGCTTTGACACATTTTAGGTTTATGACAATAATAGAAAAGTCATTTTTGCTTCAGTTCCCTATTACCACTTAGGAAATATTACAAGCTATCTTTGGTTTACTGAAAATAATGTCCAAAAATACTACAAATGAAATACTACAAATGAAAATAATGTCCAAAAATACTACAAATACTACTTTAGGCAATTTATATGTAAAATATAATCATCTTAAAATAATTAACTTTTAAAAATCTATATTTTCTTTGTATTAAAAGGAGGTACCACCTAAAATTATCATGTCTATAACAATAATTTATCTTTTTATTTTTGATATTACTCATTTCCAAAAAAGACTTAAATGGATTAGCTAATGTAAAATAAAATCGAAGAAGTCTCAGTAATTCTAAATCTAATAGAGGAATGATAAAAAATTCTTATACAAGAAAATTTTTCATTAAAAAAGCATTGCTCAATCATTGTGGGAAGAAGGTAAGCTCTCTAAGTGCCAACATAAAGTCATTTACAAATCATTTGATTAAACAAAGCTAATTTTTTCACTGGTATATCAGAAGTTCTAAAGTAAGCCAAACATTGTAGGCAGAGAATAATTTGAAAAGGCTATTAGAAAAATGAATGTTTTAGTAGTATCATTTTTTTAATTAAATAATAGTTTTTGTTTTAACCAAACAGGTCAGTCATCTAGCTCAGACTGACCTCCAACTAGATATGTACTTAAGGAACTCTTGCTCTTCCTGCCTCAGTCACTTAAGTGGTAGAATTATAGGCATAAGCAACTAAGCCTAGTCTAATAGTATCCTTTTAGAAATGCAAGGAGAAATATAAACTGTTTCAGTGTTCTTAACCACTGAACCATCTCTCCAACACCTTAAAGATTATTGTTACCGTCTGCTTTTCCAGAGGTACTGAGTTCAATTCCCAGCAACCACATGGTGGCTCACAACCATCAGTAACAGGATTCAGTGCCCTCTTCTGGTGTGTCTGATGAGAATGACAGTGTACACACATACATAAAATAAATAAATAAATCCTTAAAATAAAACTTAAAGAAAATCATACGTGACAAGTTATTACAGCCTGAACAGTAATCTAGCTTTACTGTCATACCATGATGGGTATACACTGACGTTTATAAGTAAGAAAATGTTCTTTTAAATAAAAGTTGATGAAATTCTCATTTACCATTAAAAAATAATATTGTGTTTGAAACAAATGTATTTATGCCTTTATAGGAAGTATGAAAAGTATATATTTGAAAGTATACAATGTAAGAATTGGTTGAAAGTATAGATTGTCTGTTGGGTGACTAATTTGTCTTAGATGGAACATGCTGGAAGACTGTATCATAGATCAAACTGTTAACTTTATGTGGCCTAGAATCATCTGAGAATGGGGTCTCAGTTGAGAGACTGCCCATATCAGATTGACCTGTGGGCATGAGTGATTGTCTTTACTGCCATTGATATAAGAGGGCTTTGTCCTCTGTGAGTAGTATCATTCCCTGGGCAGGCAGTCCTGTGTTATATACGAAAGCTAGCTAAGAATGAACCACCAACCCAGCAAACAGCATCCCTCCATAGTTTTTAAGTCAAGATTCTTCTTGAGTTTTTGGCCTGATTTCCTTCAATTGTGTGATCTAGAGGCATAAGCCAAATAAGCCTCATCCTCCCGTAATCTGTTTTGGTAAGATTATTTTAGGATAATAACAGAAAGGAAGCTAAAGTTGTTACAAATATTTGAGCATTAGTTAGAAGAAAAGCACTGGCTTTAAGCTGTCACTCTATGAGTAGAACTAACAATTACAAAACAATTGTAAGGTACACAAGAAGTTTAATAGGAATACAGTGTTCCAAAAATGGTCTAGTGACTGGGCTTCTTATTTTCTCACCTATGTGTATCCATAGTGGGGACAAAAGGTAGGATAATGGCTGGGAATGCAAGGGTAAGAGAAAGAAGTAACCCAGTTGCTATAGAAAATTAAAATGGCTCTACCTGTTTATAGGGCTCTAACATGCTTTACTCAATGCCTAGGAATTATTGGTGAGTCATGCCATTAGTGTAACAGACATGTATTATGGACCTACCATGTGCAGAAAAGAGAAGTAGTAAACAAAACATGTCTGCCTTTAATAATCTTGTATTATGGTAGAAGGATATGGATAATAAACAAAGTAGTAGGTTTTAAATCATGATGCAGGGAAAAGTAATACATGAGAAGAATCACAAAAATGTACAAGTTTAATAAAGATCAGGAATGCTACAGTGAGAAAGTAATATTTTAGAAAAGCGGCATTGATTTATTTAGTATTTTCAGAATTAACTTTACTATGACATCCAATAGTAGAGATGATAACCTTAAAGAAGTACTGAATAGTTGGAGTGACATTTCATCATAGTCAGCAGCATGGCTTATCATGTATACCCCTAAATTTCATGATTATGTCAAAATGTGTTTGTAAATAGGGTTCTAAAATAACCAGTTCTTTGAAATACAGTTACTATGGCATACTGAACCTAGTGTCAGCGGGGAATCTGGCGACTCATCTTGGGTGAAGAAGGAACTGGAACAACAGCAGCAATGAAAGGGGAATAAGAGGGTGATGTGGGAAGATAGACAAACATCAATGGAAGAACAGGGTGACATGGGAAGAACAGGGTGATGTGGGCACACAGACATCAATTGATAGCCATGGGTCGGTAGAAATTAACACTGCCTCATACTTCCATCTCCAGAACCAGGAGGAAGTGCACTGTTGCTGTTCACACCACTTGCTCTGTGGCACCTTGTTGTGGAAACAAAGCTCACACACAGAATAGATGAACCCTATGAACACTATATAAAAGAAAGACACTGTATTAGTCAGAGTGTTAGAACAATTCAAAATCTTTTAAAGACTTTTATATTCAGAATTTACATAGAGACTTCTGGTTTTTCTGTGCTTATTGTTTTAACCCAGAATTTCATTAAAAGTCAAAACCAAAATCCCATAATTCCTTGGTAAAGAGGTAGCAAAAGTCAAAGGACTCCACACGATGATAGCACGCATTAAGGAATATGTCAGCATAGAAGATAGAACACTTACTTTTCCATTAGGATGTATATAGCTCAGTTGGTTGAAGTTTTACATGGTAACTCACAAGCTCTGAGAATGTACCCAAGATCTAGCTACAGCTGATCTCTCAGCAACTACACTCCTCTTAGTCAAGCTTCCCACAACTGCCAAATAAGCTTGACACAGCCCTGCTGTGCATTCAGTAAAGTGGTCCCCTGCTGTTGTTAGAGCTCAACCACTTATAGAGAATAGTGGATGTCATTCAAGTGTTCTTTATTAAACGAATGCTTATTTAAGTTCTGTGTTCTGTGGGGATGTTCTCTTAGTTCTCTCTCTCTGTTTCTCTCTGTCTCTCTCTGCCTCTCTATCTCTCTCTGTCTCCCTCTGTTTCTGTCTCTCTCTGTGTCTCTGTGTCTCTGTGTCTCTGTCTCTCTCTCTCTCTCTCTCTCTCTCTCTCTCTCTCTCTCTCTCTCTGTGTGTGTGTGTGTGTGTTGCTTCCGTATATGTCACATATTTAACAAAAACAAATAAATGAATATACTTACTGGTTCTGTTAAACTAGTTGTTTTCTCAAAATCTTCACCTTCCTCCACCAGAGTTTCTTCTGTCCCAGGAAGAGAATCTATTTTAATTTTTAAAAATAAAAGTCACACATTGACTATGCATAAATTACACATATATACACACATATATGTATATATGTATGCATATATATGCTCATATATGCCTCATGATAAGAGTGATATTAACATAATGAATTACTAATTCAAAGAATCATAGAGTTAATGATTTAGTAGATTTTTGAATGGCATTTATTCAGCTTATAGATAAATAAACAAATGAACATATTTCTAATTCCGAAATGTGAAATAAAATCAGGAAAGTACAAGAGCTAGTTACCTTACTTTTACATATAAAACAATGGTTCAGGCTAGAGAGATGACACAGTGGTTTAGAGTGTGTACTGCAGCTGAACTCAAAGAGACTATGGCAGCATACACAGAACCTGCACAGGTGTAAGCCAGATAGGGCTCCAGTGCTGCTGCAAAGAGAAATGGATGCAAGCCCACATTCCCAGCTCAGAAGCTACCTACCTTCAGTAACTGCTTGCAATGAAAAAAATAATTTTCTTAAACAGAGTCTACCTGATTGTATAAACCACACTTAAAGGCTAGCCCTTATATGTAGCAGTAGATGGCCTGCTACAAAATGAACTCCGTGGTGTTTTGAAGGTTTCTTTGTTTCATAATGCTTTGTCTGGGCATTTTTTTTAAACACTACAGGTATTCTATTCATATATTATTTCTGGTTTTGTGTCTTAATGGAATTTCTGTGTGTGTTTCTCTGTGTCTACATGTGTTCCTTGTACACTTTCTTTGACCCCCTTTTTTTCTATTTGTTTGTTTTGTCCTATTCAGTTAAGATTTGTTTTTTTAACTTATTTTGTTTCTTTTTGGATGCTTGTCTTATTTCTAATGAGAAAGAACAAGATGAGGAACAAGGAATTGAATCTGGGGGTAGCTGGGAAGGGGAAACTATAATCAGAATACTTGGTAGGAAAAAAATCTAATTTTAATTTTAAAAATATAAAAATAAAATGAATATATACTATATATACTACTATAGTAAAGGACCCATGCTTGGTTCCCAGTACCTATATCAGATGGCTCACATCTACCTACAACTACAGCCCCAGGGGAACCAGCAATCTATTCTGGCCTCTGTGGACAACCACACTCATGTGCACAAACCCACACACGAACACATACAATACAAGCAGAATTAAAAGTAAAAATAAATCTAAAAATGAGGTAACTTTTTTGAGTTTAGTCAGCTATATTTTGGTACATATTTATCTTTAATGTCTTTTTCTCTGTCTTGTAATATTATACTTCATGTTTGTGTCATGCTTCTTTTAGATGGTGAGGAGGTTATACAATTTAAATATTAATTCTATCAATTGGTATTCTCTACTCTAAATCAGATGTCAAAATGTGAAGGAGTTATTAAGAATACAAATTATTAAATGGTTATAGGTTTTCTCCCAAAACACATCAAGCAAGAAGTTGTTGACTGGTCTAAATCTTAGAGAAGAAGGTAGTGGTGCTTTCAATTATATTAATAAAGTGATGGGAAACACTTCCATATGGATGCTGAGTTAGGTTAACCAGTACAGTGTAGATAGATATTTGTTTGCTAGAGAATCCTGTAATAATGATGATTATCATCTGTAAATAATATATACCAGATACTGTCAACTTCCATAGTTAACTTTAACTTTGTATATTAAAATGTAAAGACCCAATTAGAGGGAAACATTTTAGACCATTGGATTTTGTGAACTTGGTTTCTTATATGTATTAATAATAAGAGAGCCCTTATCAAAGAAGCTTCTCTTTATAGCAAATGGAGACCAACACAGAAGATTAAAACTAGACTCAATGCATAGATCAACAGCTCTTAGGAAGCCTTAACTTAATGTATGCACCCACAACATAGCTCCTGCATATGTGGCTCAGGAAACACAACAGAAGAGATAGCTGGGTGAATTTAGAAGCCAGTATACGAGGAAGTCTGCTAAAAACAGTCATCTAGAAATAGCTCCATAAACAAGACTGAAAATAGCAATATCAAGGTACACGCTAATGAGGAAGGGGGAAGTCTTCATGGGTCCCACCACTAGACAAAGAACCATAGGCAACTATCGACAGCTGGAAGAGAGAGACAATTAGCTTCTCTGAGAGATGAGTTCTCTTATTGGTTATCAAATACAAAGTGGTCAGCCCTGAAGCCATATATACACAAACAACAAAAGCAGACTTAACCACCAATATTTATATATTTGTGCATATACAAATCTATATATATGTAGATAATAAAGAAAAAAATTTCAGTGAGGACATGAGAAGGTATTTGTGAGGGTATATGGGAAGAGGTGGAGGGAGAAAAAACAAAAATATATTTTCATTTTAATTTAGTTTTTAAAAATGCCATATGATTATATAAAGAAAATTTATTTAGATTTGTGTGCAAATGGAGGCAAAATTTTCTAGTGTATGACAGAAGTGATCTGGGCAAGAAATTAGAATGTTGAAGCCTAGCTGCTTATGGTCAAGAAATAAGGAAACAGTGGAAAACATGGAAGAAGCCCATGGTTGTGGCTCTTGGCACATCTCTGATAATTCAGAGTGCTTCATTCAAGAAGAAAAACTAGCAAATCTCTTGGACACAAGCTTATCTCTATATAAACATAGATATCTTTGCAGAACACAGAATACCTTCCTCTATGATACAACTCTGGGGAAGCCATAAATTAAGATAATTTACTTATTACCCTTCTAAACAGAGCAAAATCATTAAAAGTAGCAAATTTTAGTTGATAAAATTGAAATGGGTAAGGGAAAAATGTATCATGTTAAAAACCAGTCATTCAGTTGCAAAGAGGAACTCAGCACCTATTTACTAAAACCGACTTCTAACAGTTTATAAGCTAGCGTGGACAGACCCATTAAACCAGGAGGCAAGTTGTATTTTATTTACATCTACTAAATGAAGTTACAACTTTGGCCAGAAAAATAGGTAGGATAACACAAGATCTTCACCTCTCCATCCAGTCCTCCAAGTCCAGCCCTGCAGTCTCATCCCCAGATCTGTAGCAAACCTCCTTGTTCTCTGTTCCCATTCCCAGGAGACTAACTAAGCAGATACTGGTGCAATAAAACACCCTGTTTTCCTCACTTCTGTGAAGACCCTGTCACCATTCAAGCGCATTCATATTCCTAAGTGTCACTTCCCAATGCCCAGGAACTCATTTTACTTGGGGTCTCAACTGGCCACATTAAACAGAAAAAAAAAAGAATTTTCCACAAAACAACATACAGACATCATACTCTCCTAAGAACCAGAGAGAAAACAGAAACTATGTTGCAAAAACATACAGCCAACAAAGGTAAGGTCAGAAATCAGCACCTGGAATTACAGTCTTCCCAATCCTAGATGCCTAGATGTCAGTATAAAAACATAATCAGTAGTACCTAGGATAGTATGTCCTCCACTATAACCCTGCAGCCCTACCAAAATAGGCCCTAAATATCCCAACATAATTGAAGCACAAATAAAAGATTTTTCCTTTATGCGTATGTCAGAGGAGTTGAAAGAGGAAATAATTAAACCCCTTAAAGAAATAATAAAAACACAAACAGTGGAAGGCAATAAAAATTGTTCAAAACATGAAAGTTGAAGTAGGATCATTAAACTAAATCAATGGAAAACCCAAACTGAAGGAGGTATGGAAATGAAAAACTTAGGAACTAGAACAGGAACCTCAGAGGCAAGCCTCACCAACAGAATACAGGAAATAGAAGAGAAAAATTTCAGGCATTGAAGACATGATAGAAGAAATTAATATATCAGTCATAGAGAATGATAAATCTAAAAATTTTATCTGTTCAGGGAATCTGAAAAACTATGAAAAGACCAAATCTAAAAAGAATAGGATTAGAGGAAGGAGAAGAAACACAGGTAAAAGACACCAAAAATATTTTCAACAAAAATCACAGAAGAAAATTTTCCTAACCTAATTAAAGAGGTGCCTATTGAATTATAAGAAGCACACAGAATTTCAAACAGAGTATAAATGAAAAGAAATTCCCATTGAAATATAGTAATCAAAATTAAATCTATAAATTAAAAATAGAGTAACAAGAGTTATAAAGGAAAAGACCATATATAACATATAAAGGCAGTCATATTATAACCATGTCTAACTTCTTTATGGAGACTCTGAAAGATAGAAGTGCCCAGATAAGTGTGCTGCAGATGCTAAGGTACCACAGATGCCAGCTCAGAATACTCAGCAAAAATTTTAATCACCATAAATGAAGAAAATAAGACATTCCATGATAAACTCAAATTTCTACTGTATCTGTCTATACATCCACCCCTATGAAGGGTGCTAGAAAACTCTAACCTAAAGAGGTTAATTATGTCCAAAAAAAAAATTGGATGGGATAAGTAATCAGATAAGCAAAATCAAAGAGGGGGAAACATGTAAACACACACACACACACACACACACACACACACACACTTGAAAGCTCTAAAACAAAAAAGAATAAACCACATCAAAAAGTAGTAGAAGATGAGAAATAAATAATCTCAGGACTGAAATGGAAACAAATAAACAAAAAACAAACAATACAAAGAATCAATAGAACAAAGAGTTGATTCTTTTTGAAAATCAATAAAATTGACAAAGACTTATGTAAACTTACTAAAAGGCAGACAGAGAATATCTAAATCAACAAAATTAGAAATGAAAAGGGAGACATAGCAACAGACACTAAAGAAATCTAGAGAACCATAAGGATGTCCTTTAATAATCTGTACTTCAACAAATTGGAAAATCAAAAAGAATTGAAATTTTCTTGGTACATGCCATTGACCAAAGTTAAATCAAGATCAGATAAACAACATAACCAGACTTATAACCCTTGGTGTAATAAAAATAATCATTAGACTCTTCACAACAACAACAATGAAAAAGAACTCGGGACAGATAACTTTAGCCCAGAATTCTACCAAAGTTTCAAAAAGAATTAATGCCAATATCCCTATAATTAG